CTCTGAAAATCTTCCTGATGCTTTTGTCCAGAAATAGTAAAATGATATCTTCAGGACAGCCAATAGATTTTTTTTCCCAAAAAAGCACACCTCAAGTACGTGAAAAATGCTTCAAAACCAGAAGCATATTTTTTCTCAGAATTATCAAAATGTGATTTTTTTTTTTTTGAGTATGGGAAAGAAATGGGTTACATAATCCTATGAGGGAAACCCACAGGATGAGGAGGAAAAGAAAACTTCATTAGGGGAAAAAGAGAAAAGGTATATGGCAAATGGAGGCAAAAAATCTTTGTTCCTGTTATAAATATTAACAGTTGGTATATTCGAATATTGATGGTCTAAATACGCTAGTGATTGCCCTTGGCAGGAGGCCTGATTGCTTTATTTCTTGGACTCCTTTTAATTTCCTCTTATAGTTACGAATAGAAAAGACAATTCATTTCCTTCCAGTGTCCTAATTGTTCAAACAGTGATATATTAGGGCAACTCACTTTAAATTCCAGTTTCTTGGAGCAGAAATTTTTAACAAAATATTTGTCTAGAAGATGAGCATCCTCTCCTTTGTAGTCCATAGCTTGTACCTGGCTATAAAGGCTTATCAGAGTGAAAGCATTTCTTACCCTGCTTTCTACAGATTAAAACAGTGTCTACACGCAATAAAAAGTGCCTTCTTTTCTGGAATCACTTCAGTAATGTCAAAATAATGTTTATCGTTTTTTTTTTCTTATTGTGAAAGTCTTATGTCCTGTCTACAAATAGAAAAGAATACTGGAATAACACACATCTAACCATGCCTACCTTTGAAAAATTAAGTAACTTACTTTTTATTTTAGTGCTTTCTTGGTTTATAAATTATTTTTCCAATGAGCATGCATTTTACTATAATCATAAAATACATTTTAGAAAATAATATATGTTTGTTGTAGAAGATTTGAAAATTTTCTAAGTATTTAAAATAGATAGCAGCAAGTCTCCCAAATTGCTGAATACACTCTGTTCTTAGATCCTAACCTCATAATTCGGACTCTGCTTGTTCTTGGAACCACTTTCTCCTAGGCTTTACCTAGGCCAGAGACCCTCTCTTGATAACATACCCAGTCCCATCCTTTCACTTCAGCTAGGATGCTATTAGCTGTATCTAATTATCTTTCTACCTATTCTAAGTGCTACATTAAAAGAAAAATTTTCTCTTCCCTTTAATCCAACTCCTATTGGTGACTTACAGACTTCCATTTCCTGTGGTCCATGGCTAATTTTAGGATTTCCCTTTGTTTTTTCTGTGTTGCTTTCATTCATTGCCCCCCACCCTATCTTTTTGCCTAATTCCACAAAAATCCCCATGCTCTCTGTCCTTCTTGTAATCTAGTTTGATCTGGTCTCCTTTTGCTGCTAAGAAAGCACCTTTTTTCCCCAAGATGCAGTATGCCCCTGAGATGTGAGAATTCCATCTTATGAGATGTATTTTTACATGTTTTCCCTAGCTATTCATTTCCTGAGTTTCTAAACTGACCATCATTTCATCTTACACTTTGCTGGAGTAAGAAATGTTTTCATATGTGGGGGCCAGCCCCGTGGCGTAGCGGTTAAGTGCACGCGCTCCGCTGCTGGCGGCCGGGGTTCGGATCCGGGCACGCACCAACACACTGCTTCTCTGGCCATGCTGAGGCCGTGTCCCACATACAGCAACTAGAAGGATGTGCAACTATGATGTACAACTATCTACTGGGGCTTTGGGGAGGAAAAAAAAAAAAGGATGAGGATTGGCAATAGATGTTAGCTCAGAGCCGGTCTTCCTCAGCAAAAAGAAGAGGATTAGCATGGATGTTAGCTCAGGGCTGATCTTCCTCACAAAAAAAGAAAAGAAAGAAAGAAATGTTTTCATATGTCGTTTATTTTAGGGTAATTTTCAGCATTGATTAACACATGCTCATGTCCCAAAAATCAAGAATGAAAAAGACTCATACTGTCATTTCCCTGAGACTGGGCATAGACACCCTCCAATGAATTATCCAATGTTTTTCTCCAGCTTCTATAGCTTTTAAATGTTGAAATTTGTTTTAATGCCCCATTCAATTGATTTTCTTTCTTCTTTTTTTTTTTTTGTGAGGAAGATCAGCCCTGAGCTAACAGCCATGCTAATCCTCCTCTTTTTGCTGAGGAAGACCAGCTCTGAGCTAACATCTATTGCCAATCCTCCTCCTTTTTTTCCCCCAAAGCCCCAGTAGATAGTTGTATGTCATAGTTGCACATCTTTCTAGTTGCTGTATGTGGGACGTGGCCTCAGCACGGCAGGAGAAGCGGTGCGTCGGTGCACGCCCGGGATCCGAACCTGGGCCACCAGTAGTAGAGTGCCCGCACTTAACCGCTAAGCCATGGGGCCAGCCCTCAATTGATTTTCAATGTGCTGCCTAGTAAATTTTCCGTGTTTCTTATTTTTGGAAGTTAACTTCACTTTCTCTTTTTGTGAAATGATCATGGCTCTTTAACAAAACCAAACCAAACAAAATGTTTCAACGAAATCCTCTCAGCAGTCTATTGAGAACTGTTTTTTATTTGCTTTCTTCCATCCCGTTTAATTTTTTAGCAAATGTTCTTTATATGTATTATTTCTATAGCCTAAAGATTTAGAGGACTGACTGTATATCATTTGAATTCAATTTAAAAAAAGGATGTAGGAGATTAGATAATATGTATCAATCATTTAATTAATCTTAAACTATATGGATAAATTCATGTTCAAAAACAACCCCTTGCCCATCTCTGCTTTTGAAGTTCATACGTATTTCTTACTTTTCCTGTGTTCAGTAGAAGACTCTGTTCTATTCCCATCTAGTGTTTCACTGAGTTAGAATTGTTATTTTCCCCTACTAAGACAAATAACAAATTACCTGATGCAATTGCAAATATAATAAATTCCTTCCTTATTTTTTTTTTTTTGCTAAACCAAAAATGCTATATTAAACACATAGACACACACACCCTATGCCCCACAGCCCAGCTAGAACAGGAAGCTCTCTATGGAATGCTGATGGAAAATCTGTTATGCCAAGAATCATCCAATTCACTTTAATGATATTGAAGATACCCACTTTGGTAGGCAGTAAAGGGGAAGCAAAGATGAATAATACATGCTCCTAAAAAGAACTAAAAAGAAATCTTAATAGTTCTTTGCAAGACAAGACATCTTCATTATGAAATGAAGCCAAGAGATTTACTTTGCTCAGGCTATCTTTATTGAAAAGTCATAGACCCAGCTGTTCTGTCTGGAAATACCCCACTTGAGTAATTCTCATATTTGTTCATAGTACTGCTTGGTAGAATCCCTCGAAGTATAAAGAGATTTGACTAGACCCTTCTGTAGTAGCAAGGCTGGATCTGGCTGTTGAAAAGATAAAAAAAAAAATTTTAATAAAGCTTAACTCCCTGGCAGGGAACCCCCCACGACCATTACCAAACATATTCTGGGAAAACACATAATGAGGAGAATGTACTAATAAAGGGAAATACACTGTCACCATATGGTGGAATTATAAAATAATGGAAGGTTGGCCATTTCAACACTGTGAAATTTAAGGGTGATTAATGCAAAATATAAATGTTTCCCTTCTAGCGTTACTTATCAGCTAGGCTCCTACAGGATTTATGTAAATATTCATTCGTTATGCATCAGGGAGTTGTGTGAAATTATCTGTGATTGTAACCTCAGAGAGTGCTAGTCTTTCTCTCAGGAAGTGACCTGCAAAGGGGGATATGAGAAGCATAGAGAAAGACTCATCCAGACAATTCTCTTTTCTATCAGCCTATGGTTGTTTCTTGAAAATCCACTATCAATACTAATACTGAGTATTAATGTGGTGTTTTGAAGTCTATGGAATGCTTTTGTTACCACCATACAATTTGATCTTCAAAATAATAACGTAGATATTAAAGGAGGAAAGTGAGGCTTAGAGACCTAGTCTCTCTGTAGATAACAAGACTTTTAAGTGGCAGAACATAGATTCATTTCACAAAAAGTGTATTGCACACTTATTATGTGCCAGAGACAATGATAGGCACTATTTAGGCACTAAAGAGAGAAATATGGCAGACAGCTCCTGCCTAAAGAAGCCCATTTTAAATGTCGTGTGATGGGGCCTATGCTAAGGAACTGAGGTCTCCTGGCTACTCGTTCAGTGGAATTGTCCACCCCACCAATGGCTTGTCATTAGAAAGTCCTTCTGTGTGCTGTTAAAAATGATTACCCTTTAAAATATAAATCACCATGCCACATTTAACCTTTATCCACTACCAATGTTTTCTTTTGAATTAGTTGATGAGCTCCTTCCTACAGGATAGATGATGAAAGCAGTCCCCTGCAGAAAGAATTATAGAAGAAGCATACATTGGGGCCGGGGAGAGGTGAAGTGTCAGGGAGGGTACAGAGCCAGGGAAGAGAGACCTGGGTACGATACAAAAGAGGGGTGGGGATGTTTCTAGAGGGGTAGGGTCAGAATTGAAAATACTTTCCATCTACTTCACGGTTTTACCAAGAATCAACTAAGACAAAGGATGGTAATATAAATTTATTTTTTAATTGTTTCCAGAGCACCTATCTCAAGCCAGAGACTAGGATAGCCTCTGAGGGTTGATAAAGCTTTGAACAAGATGTTCATCATCCTTGCCTTCTTGGAGTTTACAGTATAGCAAGGACATAGACATTATCAAGTAATCAGAGCTGTACACTGCTATAGAAGAAGCTTGCACAACAGCAGAGCCCAGTCCAATCCAGAAGATGAGGGAGTTCTTTGTACTCCAATAATTAAATTGGGCCCTAGAACACTGACAGAAGAATGAGTGAGCTGAGTTATTGTGCTTACTGTCAGCACTTAAATCAGTAATCAAGGGACTCTCTCGAAATAGCATTTTCAGGGAAAAGTGATAAAATGGTTTGTGTTATCAAATCTGCTGTTTTTCAAATCCGCTGACTTGGCTTGTGTTGGTAACTTCTCTCTTCTTCACAGAAAATACATGTCTTCAAGAAGACCTTGCAGGCTTTGATCTACCCCATGTCCTCCACCACCCCACACAATTTTGAGGTCTGGACGGCTACAACACCTACCTATTGTTACGAGTGTGAAGGGCTCCTGTGGGGCATTGCCCGGCAAGGCATGAAGTGTCTGGAGTGTGGAGTGAAATGCCACGAAAAGTGTCAGGACCTCCTGAACGCTGACTGTTTGCAGAGTGAGTACTCGGTTAGGCTGAAGAAGTGGGTATGCAGAGCCTGCCTTATCCTGTATATTTTCGGGTTAGACCTCTTCAACTCTTGCTGTTTTCAACAAATCCTACCCACTCCCTGCTACTGCTACACAAAGATACACATGCTACCCATCAAGTCATATCGTTAATTATGCATTCCTACAGTGTTGAACTTGATACCTACAGATTCCTCAGAATGAGTACCTGGAGTGCAATCGCACTCTCATCAAGTAGAAAACTTCAAAGTGACTTCCAATCTATTTTCTCACTCTTACCTCATAATAGCCCCATGTGATAAGTGGGAATATGTTAAAGTCCTGTTCCTCAAACAGGGGCTAAGGTACACCCCTGTGATTACAGCAAGTGGAATTCTTTTCCAAGACTATGAGGTGCCTGCATGAGGGAGCTATATTCTTCTTCAGGCCCCGCACAGGCCTTGGAATTGGGAGGTCTTGTGTTTGAATGTCAGACAGATTCAACTTACTAGATATGTAACCTTGGTAAGTTTTTCAACTTCCCAGTGCTTCATTTTCCTCCACCAAATAAATAGGCATAATAAAATTTATCCCAGAGGGTTGTTGGGAAGACTAAATGAAATAGTCTCTGCTAAGACTCGGGCGCATAGTAGACGCTCAAGGAATATTAATGGCCTCCCCATCCTTTCACACTTCTGAATAAGTACATGTCACTTTGACCTTCATGACAACTTATCTTAAATTTTCCATTTCCAAAAAACTCCTTTGTACTGATATTTTGATTAGGTCCAGAAATGTCAAAACATCATACTCCAAAATACATATTGTTGACTTTTCACTGTTGCATTTATTTCATCATATCTGCTGACCTTAAATTACTAAAAAACATTGACAAAGCAATCTATTTAAACATGGATTTTTGTTTGGAAATAATATATTTTTTTCACTTAAATATTGTCACCTCTGTTTATTGTTTATATGAATACAATCAACGTAAGGTGCATGGGTCGCCTAAAATTGAAGGGGGACCAAGAAAAATGTCAAAATAAAGATTAAATCAGAAATTTTATCACAGCTGGTTTTTGCAGTAAGTCACACACATTCTACAGTTTTTTCCAGCTGATTGGTATTTTCCCTATACAATCAGTTCAGATATAGGCTGTTAATAGTGGTGAATGCATTTTTCTTTTTTGTGAGGAGATCAGCCCTGTGCTAACATCTGCCAATCCTCCTCTTTTTTTGCTGAGGAAGACTGGCCCTGGGCTACCGTCCGTGCATATCATCCTCCACTTTCTATGGGACGCTGCCACAGCATGGCTTGCCAAGCAGTGAGTCAGTGGGCGCCCCGGATCTGAACCGGCGAGCCCTGGGCCGTCACAGTGGAGCGCGGGCACTTAACTGCTTGCGCCACCGGGCCAGCCCAGTAGTGAATGCATTTTTAAAAATCAAAATAGGTAGCATCTGTTCTTTGAAAAATAAAATGTGTATTTAGGAATAACTGCTTAAAAGGAAGGGGGAGTGACTCAATATTACTCAGCCAATTTACTTGCAAAATCTCATAATCTAATTAAAATTCAGTTCACTTGTTTAAAAAATGAATTGTAAATAGGCTTCTTAAGAAATAAGCATATTAGGGCAGTGACATTTGAGAATACAGATAGGAAAAATATTGCCATCTAGAAACAAATGGCTTGAATCCCTTAAAGAAAAAAGTGATGCCGATCATACCTAAGAAATGCGTTCATTTTTTCAGTCTTTTAGAGAACAGAGATGCCACCCATTCATTAAACTTTAGAAACATTTTCATAATCTATTTCCATTTCTCAAGACAGCATGTATTATTTGATATTGGTCAAAAAAATTAGGCAATTTTTCATTGAGGTTATTCATTAAAATGCACATGTAAATTAGAACAATCAAAAATAGTGCAGAAAAATAAAGGTGGGTATGTATGTCCCAAGAAGGAGGTATTTTCTTTAATATTACCTCCTTACTTTTTCCCTAATGTCAACACTCACACTGAACAGAAAGAGATTTTGCAAGTATATCAATTCAACTTGACTACTTTCCACAATAACTATAAATAAAATTTGAAATTCTCCCTGCAGCATCAGTGACATTTCCTTAAGAAATTTCTTTTTATTGCTTTAATCAAGAAATGTGCAATGGTGACAACTTGTGTAAAATGCTTCCATGCATGCCAATATTGGAAGAAAAGGAGAGAATAAAAAGTTAAGAAAAATCAGAGTTGGAAGATATAGCTAATGCAGCCTCCTATAGATATAAGGAGATTCTATGATTTCCTTCTCAAAATGGTCATTCAATCTCTGTTTAAACATCTCCAGGGAAAATTTGACACCTTCACAGGCAGCTTGATTCATCATTAGAAAATTCTAGCTTATATTTTAAAATTTGAACCAAGACCTGCCTCCTAGTAACTTCTAGATTTGGCTTTCTTTAAGCCAAATCTTACCTCTGGAGAAAATATTTAATAAACTGACTTCCATTGTATATGACAGTTTTTCAAAAACTTGCAAATGATAGTCTTCTTCAGGTCTGAGGGTCTAAAACCCTCATTATTTTGCTAATCCTTTTCTGAAGTTATGCAGTCTATTAACATACACATACACACTCAGAAAAAAACAAAAGGAAAAAAAAAACACATGTAGTCTGACCATGACTCATGCAAAAGAGAAAGTATTACAGTTACTTCAAATTGACTTGAGTTTGGTATTTCCTTCCCATCAAGTGTTGGGTCTGTGACTGATACACTTGCAGTCGAGTGAAATCAGGCCAGGTGACTGTAAGATCCCACTCACTGCTCCAGAACTTCCCTGCAGGATCAGAGGTGCGTGGAAATATCAAGTTCCCCAAACAGCCTCATCTCAGCTCTTGTCTAGCTGATTTTACTTGGTGGTGCTTCCTACACTTTACAGCCTTCCTGGCCCAAGGCTGACGGCCGTGTAGAGTGGTAGATAGAACCAGAGAAGACCAAAGGGAAACAGAAAGATTAATCACTGAGAAAAGGGAACTGATTTATCCTGCCCCTCTCAGTTCCAGGCCAGTGGCAGTAGCCAGAGTCCACCTGATTTTTCTTTAATTAACTCAGTTGTGTCCTGCTATTTAAAAAAGGCATTTCATTCTTTTTTGGAAATAGCACTTGGTGGTGGAAGAAATGAATTGAAGCTCATGGAGGAACCGTTTGTGACCCTGAATGATGTTAATATAACCATAAGGAACTTGCCATGACAGTTATGGTAGCAGGTTTAAACTAGTAAAAAACGATGTGTTGGCTGGGATGAGGTTGTACACAGAGTGAGACACACGTAGAGAGAGATCATGTGTAAAGCATTTTCCTTGTTATCTTTTCAAAGTAGAAAAGAGACAACTTTAGAAATTGGAAAAAATATGCAAATAATCATGGTCCTTAACTCTGTTGGCCTGTACTACCTTACACTTCTCCAAAGAAGGAATCCCAGAGGCCCACTGGGATAATCCCAGAATAAACATTCTGCCTAATTTTAGTTCCTAACTGGAAATTTCAAGTACCTGCACTAGAACAGAAAGTAGTTCACCAAAAGTTCAGGAAGGAGCATTTTGTTAGATGTGTTCTTTTGTTCTGTGTGTTTCCCACTAACATTACGTTAAGCTTATGTATCCTCATTATTAGCCATTGCAAATTTATAACGTTAACAAAATATGGTTAGTGCACTCCTGTCTGCAAACTAGATACTGATTCTCTTTATTCTGTATTCGTATTACCACATTTTGCAACCGTGATGTCTTCAGGTAGTCAGTGATTTGTATATATTGAGCAGCTATTGTGGATGGGAGCTTTATTCTGGGTTTTCTGAGCTCAAAAGAAAGTAATCAATGTTGTCTTTGGACTCAAACGTATTTTTTCTAAAACTTAACTTAGATGAATAGATGTGAACACATATCTTGGAAACTTTTGACATTCTACTCTTTCAACAGCAGCTAAACAAAATATACTTGCATAGTGAATACTCAGGAAGCTTTGAAGAAGGATTCTGTGTGCCCCCTGCCATAGGGTGGAGAGCATAGTCTTTTTTTCCCCAGAACTTAGCCCACATTTAAGCACAGTTAGTTGCTTAATAAATGTTGGTTAAGCAACAAATGAGGGCATGAGAACTGCAGTGAGAAATAGCATGTAATGATTTAAAGATCATTCTTCCGTAGAACCGTAGATTTTTTAGGGGAGACTTTGAGATCAGTGGGTTGAAGAACCCAATCTACTGACTTCACTGAGTCCAGACAATATAGTATCTTGTAAAAAAGAATTAAGTGGATGTTATAAGTGGGTTAGAACCCAGGTCTCTGAACTCCCAGCCTAGTGTCTTCTCCTAATTTATAAAGAAATATACAAAGTTGACTCTAAGGGAAAAAATGGAAAGTTGTTGAATTTTATTTTTTGTACTACTCCACTTTCCTATCTGGCACCCCTGTCTTTTAGACATTCTATGCTGCCCAGACTTTGGCTTCACAGAGCTTCCTGTTATGATGACTCCTTATGGCCTGTCCTCTATGGCCAACTCACCAAACTTGGAGTATATACCCATCACAACGTACTTCTTGCATTGACTTTTCAACAACACTAAGGAGGAAATGATTTGATAAGTTAATTTGGATAAAAGTGGAATCAATTGTTAAGTTAGTTTAATACAATGGTTAATTTCTTAACCCAAAGGAATCAACTAGTAGTGGAGCATTTTCAGGTGTTGGGGTAGGCTGCTGTAGGGGGACAAAAAGAGTGAGTATGCCTTACATAACGCCATAGAGGAAGTCAAAATAACATAAGCAATGGACATATATCTACATCTTTATATATCATAGTCCTGTGCTATTTGAGAAAGATCTGGTTTCTAATCCTACCACCACTGGAATTTTCAAAACCTCTCTGAGCATCATTTTCCACATATGTGAAAAGAGTTAATAATACTTGTCGATGCCCTCCAGCTAAAGACCACCAGGAACACATCTGTAGTTTTA